TTTATAAATAAAATTATTATAAAATTATTATAATTTTTTATAATTTAAAAAAAATAATTTAAAAATTTTATTAAATATATCTATATCTATGCATATCTAAAAGTACCTTATCACTACACGAAAAAAAAACTACCAACAGTCCCAAACGCACCCTTTCTCTCTCTTTAAGCTAAAACCCTGTACTCTCTCTAGATTTTCTCAAAACAAAATAGAAAAAATTTGTTTTCTCTCTCTGGACTTTGTCTCCTCCATCTCTTGATCTGCAAAAGCTCTCTCCTTTTTCCATTCTTATGGTTTTTTTTTGCATAGTGGGATTTTAGTCATTTTACGTGGAAGATAAGATCCCCTTCTGATTCCAGGTACCCATTTTGCTTTTACTTTCTCTGTGATTATTCTGAGGTTCAATCAGTCTCAAATTTTGATCCTCTGGGTGAATTCCTTTGTGTGTGTGTGTGTGTGTTTGTTTTTCATAATGTTGATGATTTAGTTTCTGGGTTCTTTTTGTTTTGGTCGATTTAATGTTCTTGTACGAGGTATCTGCTCTTTTGTCGGAAATTCAAAGTTTTAGCTGGGCATTGTCTCTATTGTCTCTGTATTAATATGAAATGTCTAATTCCGTATGAGATTTCATCTCTGCAATTGGTGTTTCCTTGTTGTTCTTTGTGTTTCCGTGTACAAGGAAGAAGGTAAATGGAATTGAATATATATATTTAGAGTTAACTTGATGGATCTTTTATACATTTTTTAGCTCTATCAATGTGGATTTGTTCTCATTTCTCTCTAGATTCTGTGTTTAATTACGGAATCATGCAGTTCATAGGATCTTCATATCTGGTTATGGAAAAGCTGCAAATTCCAATTTATTACTTTTTTTGGAATGGGGTGTTTTGATTTGAAGCTGAATTTTAAAATTTATGGAATTTGGTAAAAAATTTTGAGGTTTATGGTATATGCTGCATTTAGTTTCAATTAAATTTTTATATTGGTTTTATCTAATTAGGCATTCTAAAAAAGGACTGTGAATGGGGAGGCAGCTGTAATGCCCTCCATTGAAGGCTAGATTGGGTTTCTCATTTTGACAGTCAGCTTGCTCATCAAAACTGCTTTTGAGCTTTCACTCTGAGAGATGACTGGAGGTCGGATAAGGGCAAGGATTCGCCGGAGCAATCTTTATACATTCGCATGCCTTAAGCCAGTAACAAAGGAAGATGGACCACATTCCATTGACGGGCCTGGGTACTCAAGAATCGTGCATTGCAACCAGCCTGACATGCACAAGAGAAAGCCTTTGAAATATCGCTCGAATAATATATCAACGACAAAGTATAATGTTCTCACATTTTTCCCAAAGGCATTGTTTGAGCAATTTCATCGAGTTGCCAATTTGTACTTCCTTGGATGTGCAATTACCTCACTAACACCCCTTTCACCATTCTCTGCTGTGAGCATGATTGCTCCTTTGGCCTTTGTTGTGGGTCTGAGTATGGCAAAGGAAGGCTTAGAGGATTGGCGAAGGTTTATGCAGGACATGAAGGTTAATAGCCGGAAAATCAGTGTTTATGATGGGGATGGTGTTTTTCATTATAGGACGTGGCAGAAGATTATGGTTGGGGATGTGGTGAAAGTGGAGAAGGATGAGTTTTTCCCTGCCGACTTGCTACTCTTGTCATCTAGTTATGAGGATGGAATTTGCTATGTGGAGACTATGAACTTAGATGGTGAAACAAACTTGAAGGTGAAGAGAGCTTTGGAGGTGACCTTACCTTTGGATGAGGATGGTGTTTTCAAGAGTTTCACTGGAACAATTAAATGTGAAGACCCAAACCCCAGTCTATACACCTTTGTTGGTAATTTTGAATATGATCATCAACTTTTTCCTCTTGACCCTACTCAGATTCTCCTCAGGGATTCAAAACTTAGGAATACAGCTTTTGTGTATGGTGTGGTGATTTTTACTGGTCATGATAGCAAGGTCATGCAGAATTCAACAAGGTCTCCATCGAAGAGGAGTAGAATAGAAAGAAAAATGGACTATATAATATACATCCTTTTCAGCCTTCTCCTTGTGATCTCGTTGATCAGCTCCATAGCCTTTGCAGTGAAGACAAAGCTCCAAATGCCAGACTGGTGGTACTTATTACCACAGGATACAGATAATTACTATAATCCCCAAAAACCTGCAGTATCAGGGCTTACCCATCTGATCACTGCACTTATTCTCTTTGGATATTTGATACCTATCTCGCTTTACGTGTCAATTGAGGTGGTCAAGGTTTTGCAAGCAAGTTTCATTAATCAAGATATACATATGTATGATGAAGAAACTGGGCATCCTGCTAATGCACGGACATCAAACTTAAATGAGGAGTTGGGCCAAGTAGATACAATTCTCTCTGATAAAACTGGCACTTTGACCTGTAATCAGATGGATTTTCTCAAGTGTTCAATTGCTGGTACCGCATATGGTGTGCGATCCAGTGAAGTTGAACTTGCTGCAGCAAAACAAATGGCTATGGACTTTGAGGATCAGGATGGAGAGATGTCTAGCATTTCCAGGCACAAAAATAGAGAATCAGAAATTGAACTAGAGACTGTTGTTACCTCTATAGATGAAAAGGATCGTAAGCCCCCCATAAAGGGTTTTTGCTTTGAGGACAGCCGCCTCATGGATGGAAACTGGTTGAACGAGCCAAATTCAGATGTCATTCTGTTATTTTTCCACATATTGGCAGTTTGTCACACTGCTATTCCTGAGCTGAATGAAGAGACTGGCACTTTTACCTATGAAGCAGAGTCACCTGATGAAGGAGCTTTTCTAGTTGCAGCCAGAGAATTTGGTTTTGAGTTTTTTAAAAGAACACAAGCAAGTGTGTTCATCCACGAAAGATATCCCTTGAAAGGACAAATGATTGAAAGGTGGGGATACCACACTTATGGATAATATTCCTTGCTGTTTATTTGTCTCTTTTGCTTCTTTTTCTTGTCTTCCATGTGTTTTGCATCTTTCTAAACCTATTGGAGTCTAACAGGGAGTTCAAAATCCTTAACCTGTTGGACTTCACCAGCAAAAGAAAGCGAATGTCTGTAATTGTGCGTGATGAGGATGGACAGATTATTCTCTTTTGCAAAGGTGCTGACAGGTCAGTATCACTCCTACCATTTACCTGCTTTTACAGTTATTTAACAGCTGAATATGGTAACCTACTCAGATTCACATCTTCAATTGTTTGATAAGTTACAGAATGACTGATTCATAATCCCTTAATGTGGGCTGTACAGCATCATTTTTGATCGATTATCAAAGAATGGAAGAATGTATGAGGAAGTGACAATGAGGCATTTGAATGAATATGGAGAATCTGGGTTGAGAACTTTGGCACTTGCTTATAGAAAGCTTGAGGAATCTGAATATGCTGCTTGGAACAAAGAATTTCAGAAAGCGAAAACTACAGTCGGAGCTGATAGAGATGCAATGCTTGAGCAGGTGTCAAATATGATGGAGAGGGATTTGATCCTTGTTGGTGCTACAGCTGTGGAAGACAAATTGCAAAAGGGGGTATGTATTATCATTGCCTTCTTTGATTCAAAAATTTGTTCCTTTGCTTTACTTAAATTGATCTTCATTCAGGTACCCCAATGCATAGATAAACTTGCACAAGCTGGTCTCAAGATCTGGGTTTTGACAGGGGATAAGATGGAAACTGCTATAAACATAGGGTATCTCTCATATCCAAAGGCTCTCTTTAATGCATATTACCCTTTTTGAGAAGCTGTAATCTAAAATTGAGAATCACTGAAACTTGCTTTTTCTGACCACTTAAATAGTTAAATATATATTTAATTGTTTTCTGGGATGCAGCTTTGCATGCAGTCTTCTTAGACAAGGCATGAAGCAGATCTGTATTACAGCAATGAATTCTGATTCCACAGAGGTATATATATCTTTGTGAAAAAGTTCAGAAGGGTTGTTCAGGAATTGATTTCATTTGAGGTTAGACTTCTTTGCTTTTTGTTACCAATCAGGCTGTCAAAGAGAACATACTGAATCAAATAGCAAATGCTTCACAAATGACCCAACTAGAAAAGGATCCAGATGCAGCTTTTGCCTTGATAATTGACGGGAAAAGTCTAACATATGCTCTGGAGGATGATATAAAACAGCAGTTCTTAGAATTAGCAGTTAAATGCGCATCTGTCATATGCTGCCGTGTGTCTCCCAAACAGAAGGCACTAGTAAGATTTCCTTCTCTCTTCCTCATCTTATACCTTTCGGAAATTTGTCCGATACTAGACTTCAGTGATTAAAATAGATGATATTCATTAGATTGTGATTTCTTTCTGTCTTCCATTTATATGATCTTTTTGGGACCTAGGTAACACGATTAGTAAAACAAGGAACTGGGAAAACCACCTTAGCAATAGGTGATGGTGCAAATGATGTTGGAATGATTCAAGAAGCTGATATTGGTGTTGGCATCAGTGGGGTGGAAGGTATGCAGGTTAGTAACACATTTTTCAGTCTCTTTCTGCATGATGCATCTGTTGATGTATTCAATTTTCTCCTCTTTGCTTAAATGCTTTGGAATAGCATTTGGTCCAATCGTAGCGGCAAATAAAACTGTTTTTGATCTAAAATGAATGTTTCATTGAAATTGTTGGTGGTGCTTTATATTTTTGGGGGTGTTAGCTTCTCCCAACCATGGTATGAAATATGAAACCTGTGGTGCCATGACATTCTAAAACGTTTAGACCCTAGATTTAATTCCTCTGATGATGATATCTAGTTCCACAGATGATGATAGTTTTTATGGATACTTCTATTTTTAGGTTACATATTCAAGCAGTGTATCTTTACAAGACAGGGCAAAATAGATAATATGCTTTCTTTTTTACAAATATCTGGTTTGTGCTGTCAGTGAAATCTTAATTGATTTATACTTGTTGCAGGCTGTGATGGCCAGTGACTTCTCTCTTGCCCAATTTCGATTTTTGGAAAGGCTTCTGGTTGTCCATGGACATTGGTGCTACAAGAGGATTGCACAGATGGTAATAGCTATGGATTATCCATATTAGTGTTTCATCTTCTCCCATTTCTCATTTGTTGTGTATTCTTCAAATCTAGCTTTGCTTCTTATATGATTTATCAGCCTTTCAACTTTGACATTTTGAATTCAGATATGCTATTTCTTCTACAAGAACATTGCGTTTGGTCTTACTCTCTTCTACTTTGAGGCATTCACTGGTTTCTCTGGGCAGTCAATTTATGATGACTGGTACATGATATTGTTCAATGTCCTTCTTACTTCGTTCCCTGTAATTTCACTTGGAGTTTTTGAGCAGGATGTTCCTTCTGATGTTTGCTTACAGGTTAGCATGAAAACAGATCTTCCGTAGTATTTCATCCATTTTTCGGTTGTTTGTATTTTATTAGAATGTTTATACATCCCCCCATTTTTTTTCAGTTCTCCGCATTGTATCAGCAAGGGCCTAGGAATTTGTTCTTCGACTGGTATAGGATATTTGGATGGATGGGCAATGGTTTCTATTCCTCTCTCATAATTTTCTTCCTCAATATAATAATCTTCTATGATCAAGCTTTCCGCATGGGAGGACAGACTGCTGATATGGCTGCCTTGGGCACTACAATGTTCACCTGTATCATATGGGCCCTCAACTGCCAGATTGCACTCACTATGAGCCACTTTACATGGATCCAACATCTCTTAATCTGGGGCAGCATAGTCACTTGGTATTTGTTTCTCTTCATTTATGGCATGCTGTCTCCCACATTTTCTGGTAATGCCTACCAACTTCTTGTGGAAGCCCTTGCTCCCGCACCCATCTATTGGCTAGCTACCCTCTTAGTAACAGTTGCTTGTAATCTCCCCTACCTCGCCCATATATCATTCCAGAGATGTTTCCACCCCATGGATCACCATATAATCCAAGAAATCAAGTACTACAGAAAAGATGTTGAGGATAAACGCATGTGGACTAGGGAGCGCTCTAAGGCAAGACAGAAAACCAATATTGGATTCTCAGCACGTGTGGATGCAAAGATCAGACAATTAAGGGTGAAGCTGCAGCGGAAACAACCATCTCTAGAGCAAGTGCATGATATGATGTCCCCAATGTCATAACAATGCCCACTATTTCAGTTTCCTTTCTTGAATATTGTTAGGTAATTTTTCTTTTGGCAATTTGCAGTTTTACATTGAGGCTTTTTTTTTTTTCTTCGATTTTTCGATTCATTTGTTCATTTCATTTAGAGGTTGGCTAAGGCCCTATTCATATATACTGAAATCTAGGTGTTGTTGTATGTACACTACTTAAAAGTGTATATATATATATATGTATAGGAGAATTCATAACTTGTGGAAAGACAGTTGATATTTATCATTTTATCTCTGAGGTTGGTTTCAGTAAAAGCATTAATTTTTTTGGCGGGTGTGTAATGCCAATTGAAGCTGGATAATTAGCTGGAAAAACACTTGCTTGTGTGCTAAGGAAATCAGGATTTTTTGGTAAACCGCACATGCTCTTTTTTTAAGCTTTTTCTCCCTTAGGAGATGCTCTTTTTTAGTGAGAGGAATGGAATGGGATGGAATTATAGAATTGAATATTTTTATAATGAAAAGAATGGAGATAAAGAGAAAAAATAGTCATCTCCAATCTAATATTTTAATTTAATTTATTTTATTTAGAATTATATAATTAGAAGTAATGTTGTTTTATTTTTTAATTTATTTTACTTTGTATATACATGTAATTTGAATTTAAAAATTTTTATTTTTATTGAAAAAAATTATTATTAAATTATTTATATAGTTTGTTTTAATATTTTAATATATAATTCATTATAACAAAAAAATAATGTTTATTAACTTTATTTTAAAGATTAGGTGGAAAATCGTCTAAAAATTACATTGTTTTAATAAATTTTCAATGAAAATACTTTATTTTTAAAGTATGAATTAGAATGATTTTTTTTTTGTTTTTTTTTTTTATACTAATCCCATAGTATCCAAAAGTCACATTAGACCTTAAGTAATCCAAAATCAAGTTGGGTTGTATCCCATAAAGGGGAAGCTCTCTCAACTCTTATTTTTTCATTTATAAGATTCGAATTCAAGATCTTATTTAAGAAAAATCGAGTTCTTTTCATTTGGATCAACAAACCGTTAATTTTGTTCTTCCTTGTATTTTATTAAAATTTTATAATTTTAGAATAATTTTTCTCTTAATTTTTAAGAAATAAGACGGATAAATACTAATATCTTATAACAATAAGAAACTTAAAACTATTACCAATACTATATACAAAGTTATTTAAATGTCATTAATAAAATATTAATTTATTACAAATACTTAAATTTTCTATTATCATTTTTCACAATTAATCACTAATAAGTATTGATTTTGCATAATCATTTGTAATGAAGCGAAAAAAAAAAGAAAAAAAGAAGAAGGAAAAACGACGTCGTATCTCAACAAAGTAGGGACTGATGATTTCTTTACCCTTTTCTTTTTCTCTCTTAAATCTGCTTCAAAAGAGAGGGAAAGTTTCCGTTTTTATTCCACTCCCCACCTTGCCGTTGATTCCCGCTAATCAATAAACCTCAATCAACGCTTCCCTTGTACGGTCGTCAATTTTCCCTTTCTTTTTGCCCCTATTCAATTTTGTTTAGGGTTTCTTCTTTTTTGCCTCCTTCTCCTGTATAAAAACACTTGTAAATTCAGAGCAAACAAGCTGCACAGAGAGCTAGAATTTTTTGTTTTAATCATTCAGTGATGGAGCCTTGAGTGGCCAATAAGTTTCGACTCGGCCGGAAGATCGGCAGTGGATCCTTCGGAGAGATTTATCTGGGTTTGTCCCCCCCACTGGGTCTGAAAGCTGGAACAAAGAAGCAAAAGTAACAGAAGATTTGTGAAAAGAAAGTGTCAAC